CCATCCCTCAGGGTCTTCCCAGAGGTAGATACTATCTTTAGTGTCCACTGCTGGGGTACCCTCCTAGACGGGTTCCTCAAAGTCGGACCACAAGAGCGAACAAACAAGCACAGCCAGGTGCCCTCTCAAGAGCTGCTTTTACCCAACTGATTGGTCTGAGACATGACCTGCTCTTTATCCTGGTACTTCACTTTTCAACAATGCCAAACACAACCATTCCAACAAACAGCAAATTCACACACATAGTCACACACCAAATGCATAAACACGTCTATGGAAAGGACACATTAACGAAAATGGGAAAGTTTCAGAAAGGAGCTAATGAATAAAAGTTAAGAAAGAAAGAAGCTAGTGCTAGAAGGGAAATGACTTTGGTTTGGGAAATGTTAGATTCAAGGTGCCCAAAATATACCCAGGTAGAGATGCATACAAGGTAGAGAAACGTTAATGTGAGTTTATAAGAGAGGCTGACCCCGTAGATGTGTTAAGAAAATAAAAATAAAAACAAACAAACAAAAACAAAAACAAACAGTTCTGAGAATATAGAGAGGAAAGTATAGAAAAGAGAGAAATGAGAGGAAGACCAACACCCGCACCTCCGCCTCCACCACACTGAGTGGGGTGACACAAGAGGAAAAGGAGGACCCGGCAAGAGAGAGGCAGAAAGAGAAGGCAGTAAGACAAGAGAGAGGCAGCCTGCAAGAAAGAGGGAGCGGGAGACAGTCCAAAATGCTGTAGGATTAGGAAAAGCTGATTGGATTTAAATTTAAAAACAGAGCAACAGAGTTGCCTTTTGAGAGACAGGATTTAGTATAATAAGGGAACGGCAGAACAGGGGGCTGCAGAGTGATCAGCTAGTGGAGGCGGGACGAGTGTCCGTCCTTCTCGAGGACTGTGACAGTGGAGGGAAGGAGAGAGCCTACCACCGGCACCACCAGCATCACCAGCCCCGGGGCCTCTGGAAGCACAGGGACTTTGCCCGCTCTGCTCACTGCTGCATCCTCAGCGCGAAGACCAGTTCCTGGCATGTAAGAGGTACTCCATAAATATTTGCTCATGGAATGGTGTGTTTATTCAATCAATGTTGCTGTTTGATGAAATAAATGAATTAGTGAATGAACACCGTAATGATATCTGAGGAAGTCTGAGACAATACTCTTGTTACAGCATTGCTGTGATTCAGGTATAAATGTGGGCGATAGAGCCTGTAAGCACAGTTCACATCACTGTACTTGGTTGAAGTTAGTCTTTTTTATTTTTTTAAAGATTTTATTTATTTATTGGAGAGAGAGTGAGTGAGAGAGAGCATGAGAGGGGGGAGGGTCGGGAGGGTCAGAGGGAGAAGCAGACTCCCTGCTGAGCAGGCAGCCCGATGTGGGACTCGATCCCGGGACTCCAGGATCACGACCTGAGCCAAAGGCAGTTGCTTAACCAACTGAGCCACCCAGGCGCCCTGAAGTTAGTCTTTTTGACAGTAATCTGAGGAGAAAGAGAATCTTTTAGGCCTGATCCTGAATTTGGGGAGGCAACCCTTGAGTGTCTGCAGAGTAGAAATCCCTCTCTGCCTTGACCCATAAAGAGATACTGAAAGGAGCTCCTGAGGGGTGGGTTGTGAAGAAGGGGTTCTCCACATGGGGGACAGTGGGGAGCAAGGAATTAAGAATCCAGGTGAGTGCCTGCAAGGTTGTGAAAACCCTTTAGGACTAGAGGTCACCCATCTCAGGCTGCTACTCGTTCTCCTACTCGGTATTAAACCCCTTCATTCTGCCCCACATTTAAAGTCTTGGTAAAGTTCTGATCTGGGTATGAGAATATAACGGGGTTTGGGCAGCACCGGGGGACAGGAGGATGGCCAGCACTGTGGTGGCAAGAGAAGCAGTACCAAGCGTGGAAGAACTCCCAGGATCAATAATGTGGGGTGACAGCCAAGACACCTTGAAGATTCAAGGATTTGTTACATTAGATAACATGGTATTCCTTTACAGGGAATATAGGAAAGAACTTTTTTTTTCCCCCTGTTGCTTCTCATTTTGTTTTTGTTTGATTCAGACAAAGGAGAAACTGAGCAGATACGCAGTCCAAATGGAGAAAACTGGTGGAGAGCAATAGAAAGAAGGTAGGGTTGTAAGGATCAATACAATGTAATTAAAGAAAGCCCTGGAAGAAAGGAGAGGCCATGAGACCCAAAGGCTAGATGGGAAGGTTCCTTTTTACAAAGTGGTATAAAGAAGGATTGAGAGTAAAGAGATACAAAACAGATGGGAGACACCTGGTGAGGCTTACCTGGCAGTTAGGGGACAGGGCCAGCTAGTGGGCTTACAGAACATAGAGAGTTCACACAGCTGCTGGGGAAAGGCCACCAGGGAAGCCAGTGAATAAGAAGAGGGTTTCTGCAGTCGTGAGGGGCTAGCTCACTGGAATTTACAGAAATTCTAATTAGCACGATTTAATACGATTTACGGCGATATTTGGCAAACCGGAAAGGTTTTTTGCAACTGGAGATGCAGTCCTACCCTGGAGCCAATTTTGGCTCACCTAATGGATCTGCTGCATACTGAGTCATAATAACAGGATAAACACACCTGACAGCAGAATCATCTCATTTTAGAAACAATTCTAAAGACAGGTTCTAATCAAAGGAATCACAATTAATCCACCCTGCCTATTTTCCTTCAAATGGAGCCAAGTTGTACTATTTCATACCAAGATCATCAAGGTCTTCCAGAGGGAAGAAATCTTTTTTTTTTTTTTCAGAGGGAAGAAATCTTAAAAATCATCAAGTCCAACTTCTCACTTATTATGACTTCATTTTTAGAAATCCATGGCAGAAATTATCAGTGCACACTGGCATCCATGTGGTGCTTTACATTTTTAAGCCTCCTTGGGGGTGCACCTGAGGCCACATAGCTGAGCTCTGGCCGATGGGACATTGGTGGACGTGATCTAAGTCACTCCCAGATCTGGTCCTACCTTGGATTGAGAAAGACCATCCAATTTGCATCATATCAAACTTTGCTTGGGAGAGAGATAAACTTCCATTGTACTACTCACTGACTTTTGTAGATTTGTCTGTTTCAACAGCAAGTATTCATTGATTCTCAAGCCTTCTTTGAATAACCTAGCAACTCAAAGAACTGCCAGTCATGCTAGAGAAAGAGATGGAGATTATTATTGCTCACAGATCCAAAAGATTAAGAAGATAGAAGCAGTCAGGAAACTCATTTTTATAATATAGTAGCATCTTGGTTATCTAAAGGGTATTATTTGAGACATAACCTATAGAAGTTAAGGCCCTACCCCTGAGAAACAGGAAATAAACAGTAGAGGTCCTAAATAACCCAGCCTGAAAGCTAAATAAAGTGTTAGAGGTTCACTCACTAGTCTCTCAGGCTCTTTGTATTTATTCAAGTTATCTTGGAGTAAATAAGTCATTCTTAGAAATCTGTTTATCTCACATCGGATAAGAAACTGGAAATTGATCTGTTTCTGCTTTGTTTGTTCATTTGTTTTGTTTTTTAGATTCCACATATAAATGAAATCATATGGTATGTCTTTCTCTGTCTGACTTTTTTCACTTAGCATAATAACCTCTAGGTTCAACCATGTTGTCACAAAAGTCAAGATCTCCTTTTTTATGGCTGAATAATATTCCTCTGTGTGTGTGTGTGTGTGTGTGTGTGTGTGTGTGTGTGTGTGTGTATGTACTACATTCTGTTTATCCATTCATGTATTTTTGGATCCTTAGGTTGCTTCCATATCTTGTCTATTCTAAATAATGCTGCAATAAACATAGGGGTACATATATCTTTTCTATGTAGTGCTTTTTTTTCTTTACCCAGTAGTGAAATTACTGGATCATATGACATTCTATTTTTAGTTTTTTGAGGAACCTCTCTATACAGTTTTCCACATTGGCTGCACCAATTTAAATTCCCACCCAGAGGGGAGATGGGTGGAGAGATGGGCAAAATGGGTGAAGGGGAGTGGGAGTACGGGCTTCCAGTTACTGAATGTACAAGTCTCAGGGATAAAAGGTATCACACAGGGAAATACAGTCATGGTTTTGCAACAGTGTTCTATGGTGACAGATGGTAGCTATGCTTGTGAGCATAGTGGAATGTATGGAGTTGTCAAATCACCTCTACTCCTGAAACTAATGTAACATTGTGTGTCAACTACACTTCAAAAAAAAAAAAAAAAGAAAAAGAAAGAAAGAAGAAAAGAAAAGAAAAGAAAAGAAATAGGAAGTTGGAAGCAATAAGGACTGGTGCTAGAAGGGACCAAATCACAACATTCTGAGAGTGAAGGAGAGATCAGAATTCTAAAGGCAGAATTTCCAAAAAGCAAGGTAAAGATTTCCATTTTATAACTGAGCCCCACTACTTCTCAGAGTCCTGAAGGCTCACTGGAGAAACTCAACCCACAACTGACTAGAAAAAAAAAAAAGAAAAAAAATGACTTAATGTTCTCAACTAGCCTTTGTAAGCCTCTAAGGAAGGTACAAATGTATTTTAAAAAATGTCTGCAAATGGTTACTCAAACAGTTTCGATGTTTAAAGTATATTATTTGCAAAAAAAAAAATAATTTTTGAGGACCACCTTATTTCTCTAAGACGCCACACAATGATGCCCCAAAATATGAGATGCTGCCATTTGCATACTATTTGAGAGTGAGTGGTTCCTCCCAAATCGATGTGGGTGCACATATCCAGCATGAAGGAAACCTGGATTCCTTCAGCAAAATCAGCATCCAAATATCACATGTAGAAAGGACCTCAGAGATCACTCAGTGCAAGCTCCTGACAGAAAAGTTCGGTGCCCAGAGGGCGCCCATTCATCTCACTGTAGAGGAGGAACTGAAGCTCATGCCCCCTTGCTTTTGGAGCCAGGGTACAACCACCTACCTCACAATGTTCCCTCCCTGGATAGGCTTACTCTTGCCCTCCCCTCCCAGGCCTTTCTGGAATCCAGAGGTTGATCCAGAAGCATGATGCACTCACCTGCAAAAAGCAGTGTCCAACCGGGGCATGCTCCGCCAGGGTGGCGTTGTACACCTGCCTCTGGAAGGTGGGCTCGTTGTCATTCACATCGTCCACGGTGATGCTCACCAGGCAGGTGGCAGAGAGTGGGGGTTCTCCGAGGTCTTGGGCTACCACTCTCAACTCTACTGCCTCCTGGACCTCCCGGTCCAGGCTCCGGACGGTGCTGATCACGCCGCTTTCAGGATCAATAGCGAAGGACGGTCCGCACTCCGCCGTGGGCCACACACCTTCTGGGTTGCAGCGACCCGGAAGGTGGACCAGGGCGTAGCGCAGCCGGGCGTGGTCTGTGCCAGCCTCATCCGCATCGGAGGCGCTGACCCACACGACCGCGGTGCCCGGGGCCGCGGCCTCTGACACCGAGGCCAGGTAATGCTCCCTGCTGAAGAGAGGTGGCTGGTCGTTGAGGTCTGCAACCCGGAGCAGCAGCGTTTCCTCTGTGCTCAGCGGCGGGGAGCCCGCATCCGTGGCCGCCAGTCGCAAATCATACAGGTCACGGCTCTCCCTGTCCAGGGGCCCCTCGACGCAAAGGAAAAATACCCCGGGGGAGCCGCCAGAGCGCAGTGCGAAGGCTCCATCCCCGCCCTCCAAGGACAGCGAGAGGCTCCCGCGCCCCAGGCCAACACCAGGCTCCCCGACGGCCTCCTCTTCCTGCCCCGTACCACCGTCCGCGTCGGACACGGAGACGCGAGCCACGTAATCGCCCCGCGCTGCGCCCTCGGAAACGCGCGCGGCCCCTCCCTCGGTGAGGAAGAGCAGGTGAATGGCGGGCGGGTTGTCATTGACGTCGAGCACGGCGATGGACACGCGTACGGTGGCAGCCTCGGGCTCGGCCCCTCCGTCGCGGGCCTCGACCACCAGCTGGTGCCAGGCCTGTGCCTCGCGGTCCAGAGGCCTCTGCAGCCGCACCACGCCGCTCAGCTCCTCCACGGTGAAGTAGGCCGCATCGCCCAGTGGCCCGAGCGCCGGCCGGGCGCGGATGCTGTAGCGCACGTGGCCGTTGGGCCCCAGGTCGCGGTCGGTGGCGCGCACGCGACAGACCTCGGCGCCCGGCCGAGCGTCCTCCCGCACCGCGGCGCGGTACTCGCCCTGCTCGAAGACTGGCGGGTTGTCGTTCTCATCCAGCACCCGCAGCTCCACAAGCAGGTGGCCCGTGCGCCGCGGGCGGCCGCCGTCCCAGGCCTCGATATGCAACTCGTGTGTCGCCGCCGCCTCTCGGTCCAAGCGCCGCAGCAGCACCAGGTCCAGGGGCTCCAGGGGCGACGAGGACGGTGGTGACCCCGGGGTTCCGTGGCGCAACTGGAAGAACGGTCCTGCGGGGTCCTCGGGAAGGTCGGACGGTTGCAGCAGGGTGTAGCCCTGCGTGCTGAACAGGCCCGCGTCCGGGTCGCGGGCACCTGGCAGGCGGAAGGCGGTACCCGGAGGGCTGAGCTCGGAGACGTCGAGTTGCAGGGAGTCGCGGGGAAAGCTGGGCGAGTGATCGTTCACGTCGTTGACGCGGATCTCCACCTGCACCACGGCGCCCAGCAGCGTGGCGGCCACAAAGCTGTAGTGGTCCCGCCGCTCGCGGTCCAGGCACCGAGCCGTGCGGATGATGCCGGTGTCCGGATGCACGTGGAAGTCGTCCAGCAGCGGTGAGTCATCCGAATCCTCGGATAGAAAGAAGCCGCCCCCCTCCTGCTGCTGTGCAGCCGGCAGCCCCGCGCGGATGTCGCCGACTAGAGTGTCCGGAGGAAGTCCCTCGTCCACGGAAAGGCTGAGGTTGAACACCTGGGCGTGTGAACCCGAGGCCACGCACAGCCACGCGTGCATGAAGAGCCCGAGCAGGAAGCGCTGAGCCCCGGGGGCGCCGCCGCCGCCCGGCAGCCCGCGGGGTGACCCTCTCCTCCCGGGGAACAGAAGGCGCTTCCCGGCGGGAGCCCCCCGCTGCTGGTGTCCTTCGCCCATCCTCCGTCCAGCAGGGCTCGTTTCTCCGCCAGTAAATCGGGAAGGCTCCCGGGTAACTGCCAGCTTGTGTTGGGGTGGCAGAAAAATCCAGGAGCCTCTTCAGCGTCGGGGCCAAAGAAGAAAAGACTTTGGCAAACCAAGAGACCCAGGAGTTCGCGAGGTTCAATCTGCAACTGGTGAAAGCGTCCTCCGCCTGCCGCTCACGCAGACAGGGAACCTCTAGCTGCCTCTGCCGCTGCAGCCACCTCTTCAGCCCCTGGGTTGCTTCCAATGAGTCTCATCTCTTTTTCTCTCTCCTTTTATTCCTTTTACATCTGTTCCTTGTTCTGCTCGGCTTGTTGTTTTCCCCTGGTAAAGTCAGGTGCATTATTTCTTTTGCCAAAAAGGATGAAATTATTTAAAGCGCGCACACACAAGGAGAGGCTAGGGGGCGGCCCGGGGAAGGGGGTGGAGTAAGGGCGGGGAGGCTGAGTGTGGGCGCGGGGCCGGAGCGGAGGAGGGAGGGAGGGAGAGGAGGCTCCGGCTGCGGCCGTGCCGGCGGCTCCGGGGGCGGCCTCTCCCCGCCGCGTCTCGGTGCGCGGAGGACCGCCCGGCTCCAGCTCCGACCCAGCCCCCGCCGCCCCCCTTCCCCTCTCCTCCCCGCCAGTGACGCGGCGCACACGAGGGCCAACTCCAACCTGCGAGTCGCCGCTCTGCAGCAGGGCGCGCTGTCGCCTGGGTCGGGGACCCAAGAGAGAGGAGCGCGGGAGGAAGGACGCGCAGATTTGGGCCGCGAGGCGGGCGGGGGTCGCGCAGGCCGGCCGTCTGCCCCGGCTTTGCGGGCCAAGTGGCGATGGGTGGGGGAGGCGGAAGCAGCAGCCCCTCCACGCCCTCCTCCCTCCATCCCCTGGACGGTTCCTTCGGCAGGCCTGACGTTTGGCTCAGGCTGAGCAGAGGGTGGGGGTTAGAATCACTTTGGGGAACCAAACTTGTGTTCTCCATTTGGCGAGAGAGATTCGTCCCCAGCGGAAGGACAGATGGAGTCAAAGGCCGATGCGCAGCTGGGGCCGGGATGACTGCAAAGGGGGGGAAGGCGGGACTTGGAAAAACCTTCGCGAAACCCCGAGAAATCTGTGATACACATGTGATACACGGCTTTATTATGCCGCGCTACTACTCAGCGACGTGTGAGCGTCTTGTCACTCCCCTCTGCCACCGAGAATGACGACAATAGATTCGGCTTGTGAACACTTTCTTATGCATTCAGCGCCATCACAACACTTCCAGGATGTTTTATGATGCTGATTTATGGGCAGAAAGATGGGGTAGCTCAGGCCAGACCACCTTCCAGCACTTCACCATGGCCTCTGAGCGAGGAAGTTTGCAGCCAGGGCCGCTGCTGACAGCACTTTCAAACTAGCTTCTGAGTCCAAGAAAAATGCCAATAAATTGCCAGTCGCAGGTTTCCCTTCAATTATCTGTAATGATAGGTAGAAGTTGATAAATAGCCTCTAATAAAAAAATGCCTGAAGAAGGACTCTGCCTTCTTGAGAATGGCTGGTCCTATTTAGCAAATGGTTTCTGCAATTTTGCATTTAGGCCCAAGGGAAGAATTAATTTCCTAGATACTGTTGCTCTCCTTTAAGGAGGACCAACAGCGCTGCATGATGGTTCTGGGCAGCAACAGTAAAATGCCTTTTAATATTTGGTGGACTTATATATATAACTGCTAATCTACACCATTATCTCTACCTCTGACAAAATAATAATAAAACAATTTTATAGCAGATATGTTGCATGTAAATAGAGACATTATTAAAATACATCCAGCTGCCTCTCACCGGTGAAGTTTCCTTACCATTAAGGAGACCAGGTGTGAGTCTTTAGAATCTTCTTTCACCTCAACCTCTTCAATCTCACTTGAACCAGTCCCCTGCCTCTACTCTTACCCCTCTATAAGTAATTCTCAGCCAAGCATCTGGATTATTGTTTTTTTTTTTTTTAAAGATTTTATTTATTTATTTGAGAGAGAGAGAATGAGAGAGAGCACATGAGAGGGGGGAGGGTCAGAGGGAGAAGCAGACTCCCTGCCGAGCAGGGAGCCCGATGCGGGACTCGATCCAGGGACTCCAGGACCATGACCTGAGCCGAAGGCAGTCGCTTAACCAACTGAGCCACCCAGGCGCCCTGGATTATTGTTTTTAAAGCTAATTCAAATCCTGTCTCCCCCTGCTTAGAACCTGCCAATATATTTCCATTATACTTGGATTATAATTCAGGCTCCTTCCAATTGTACAAAACTAACATGGCCCTACCCACCTTTCCAACCTCATCTTATACCACCACTCTTGATCCAGATATACTGCCTTTTTTCTGATACTGGTATTTGCTACAGACTGAATGTTTGTGTCTTCCTCAAAATTCATATGTTGTCGTCCTTCCGCTCCTCCCCCCCCCCCCCCCCCCCCCCGCCAACATGATGGTATTAAGAGGTGGGGTCTTTGGATTAGATGAGATCACGGGATTAGTGTCATAAGAGGAGAGAACCTGATGCTCTCTGTTCTCTGCCATGTGAGGAACATAGGAGGTGAGCAGTCCACAAACAGGAAGAGGGCCCTCCCCACAACTTGACCATGCTGATGCTCTAATATCGGACTTCTAGCTTCCAGAACTGGGAGAAATAAATTTCTGTTGTTTATAAGGCACCTAGTCTATGGTACTTTTTTTTTTTTTAAAGATTTTATTTATTTATTTGAGAGAGAGAGAATGAGAGACAGAGAGCATGAGAGGGAGGAGGGTCAGAGGGAGAAGCAGACTCCCTGCCGAGCAGGGAGCCCGATGCGGGACTCGATCCCAGGACTCCAGGATCATGACCTGAGCCGAAGGCAGTGGCTTAACCAACTGAGCCACCCAGGCGCCCTATGGTACTTTTTTATAGCAGCCTGAAGACAGGGCATTTGAATTGTTAAAACTTTTCTGTGCCTGGGAGTTATTTCTTCTGCTTTGTGAAGATTTGGCTCTATCTCATTCAGGTCTTAATTCAAATGCTAACTGTTTGGAATCCTCCCTTGACCACTCTACTCAAGTAGCTTCTCCACCATAACCCTTATCCTCATATTAGATTTCATTCACAACACCTATCGGAGCCTGACATTAGCTTGCTTCATTCAGCTGTTTATTAAATTATTGTGATCTCAACCCTCTTCGTGCACTTGAAGCACTGCTTTATCCCGGAACCCAGATCAGTACCTCTCACGTAAAGGGGTCTCCATTCACTAAACATGTGTTAGATGACTGGAGGGATGGTTGGTTTAGCTGATGGGTGGATGGAGGGATAAGTCTGTTAAAGGAGAGGTTTGAAGCCATAATTCAGAATTAATTGACCATGAAATCCTTTATTGCGATGAATTGTATCTTCACAGTTTACTCATTTTAATCGTTCTACGGGGCTTCGTGAACTAATTTTTGAACTTCAGCTTACTTTGCAGAGTGTATGGTTACCAAATATTTACTTGAGTCTAAAAATAAAAGCAGCTAGTTACTCTGCATCTTTCACTGACATTCTTTGTAAACAGTGGTTTGGTTTAGAAACAAATGAAAAATCAAAAACTTCAAACATCTATTTTCCCACTAGTTTTTAAGCTTTATAATTTAAGCATGTGCAATTCAAGGCCTCCTGCCCACTTCATACCCTTCATTGAATGCCTTGAGCAGCATTCTAAATTGAAAAATCAATTTGGTGGGGTTAAAAAAAAGGAGCATTTCTCAAATATGCAAAAAACAATTTTAGATTCTAGCACAGAAGCCAATAGCTTGCAAGAAATAGGTCAAGTCTGACCCTCTCAGGAGGAGTATCACGGTGTAACTGGCAGGAGTCTGGGCACTGAAGCTGGGCAACCTTGGCTCTGCTCTATAACTGTGGGCAGATTATTTCAATCTTGTTAAGCCTCAGTTTCTTGCTGTCTAAATTGGGGGTTATACTATCTAATTTATAAGACGTTATGAGTCTTGAGTGAGGCAATGTATGTAGACTAGCACATAGAAGGCATCAGCAAATATTACTTCTCTTGCCCCTGTTGTTTGTGTGATGAAATATCTTAGGGGTGAAGTGGTTTGGGATTCTCAGTCATATCAAATTCTGACTTCTTAGCCCTCCTGAGTGTGTGGAGAGGGAGATGAAAACTTCCCAGTATCACAGAGAGCAGCCATCATGGGCAGAAAAGCCCAGAGCAGATCTTCACCCAGTGTTACATGGTTTAAGTAGTACAGGAAGTCCATCATCAAAAAACATTTTCTCCCAGACTGTAGATAGTCCCTAGTTAACTTAAATAGTCTAAATAGTTACTAAGTGCTCATAATGTTCAAAGCTTCTCCCACCAATCCTTTGGCGGGGGTCGGGGGGTGGGGGGATTATAATTACTATCCCATGTTACAGATGAAGAAACTGAGGTTCAGGGCATTGCAGGTAACTTGGCCAGTCACATAGGTTAAGTGGTGGGATTGGAATCTGAGCCCAGACAGCTTTGCTTCAGCGTCCTTGGCCTTTGGAGCTTTTCACCGGTCATTTATCATCTCTATGATTTTCTGCTTAAGGCGAACTGCCTTGCTGCTCAACAACAGAAGGAAGAACTCTAGACAGCATGTTTGTGTAATGGTGGGATGGCACGGGAGAAGAGCCACAAGGAAGTGACTCCTTGAGAGTGCACCGAGAAGAAACTATTTAGAAATGGGCATTAAAGCCAAGTGAGGAGGAAGATCCTGTGGAAGATGAGGGCTTCTTCCCACCTCTTCCCCCAGAAGGAAGACCCTCTGAGGCTAGGAAGGACACCTTCGCAGCAGGGGGTGCCTCTCCTATTTTTGGCTCACATGTTATTATCTCTCTAAGAGGATGAGCTAAAGAATGGAACTCGTGATGGTTAAATTTTATGTACCAATTTGGCTAGACTATGGTGCCAAGCATGATAGGTAATAGAGCACTACTCTAAATGTTGTTGTGAAGGTAATTTGTAAATGCAATTAACATCAACAGTGGGTTGACTTTAAGTGAAGGAGAGTGCACTTGACAATACGGTGGGCCTCACATAATCAGTTGAAGGCCTTAAGAGCAAACTGAGGTTTCCCAGGGAAGAAGGAATTGTGCCTCAAGACTGTTACATAGAAATCCTGCCTGAGTTTCCAGTCCGCTGGCCTACCCTCCAGATTTGGGACTTACCAGCCCACACAATCATGTGTGCCAATTACCAGGTATGTATTGGTTCTGTTTCTCTAAAGAACCCTGACTGATACAGAGCTTTATAAGAAGAGATGATTTAATGTCTATTATCATAGTCTGTATTTGATATACATATATTTCATGTTCTGAAAGTATTAAAATCAGAATCCTGGACATGATGGAGGTCTCACCCAGAGAGGTGATTTCACGATAGGTAATCAAGTCTACTTCCCTACCTTAGGATCTAAGTGTCCAAAAGAGATGATAGTCTTTTCCCTCTTTTTTTAATTTTGAGCACAGATTGTGTGCACACCCATTCTATTTTCCGAGCCCAACAGAATATAATTAAATTTTATAGAGTACTTGTCTCTGTTTTTGATATCAACATATAGTTATTTCCTCTGATTCTTTGGGAACATGAATAAAACCTTTATCCCAAAATTTCATCATATGGTTGGAGAGAAGTATGACATGGCTTATCATTAAGTAGATTTAGGTATATTGTACCAAATCATATTTTTCAAATCTAGTAGAAGCTGGAATGTAAGTGTTACATATACAAAAATTCTCCCTATATTTGAAGATTATAATATAAGTAGGTCTGAAACAGAACCCCTAGCTAAAGTAATTTCTGCCTGACTTTCGCCAAGTCTCCTCTCTCTCTTAAATTGCTTATTCTCCTTCCCAATAATTGGTAAAGCAGACCAACTTCTCCCCACTCCCTTCACCAGGCTCCAGATGGCCTATGAAGGCCAATCAAACCTGCTCAAACACATAGCCTTTAAGATTTGGCTTCTTTGACTCTGTCTTTGGCACACACACACACACGTACACACTCTCTCACACACACCATCTTGCTTTCCCTGAAAGCTTTTCTTTAGATAAAATAATCCCAGCTTCTTATTTCCCCAGCCCTTTAATCATTTTGTTTCTGTTCTCTGAACTCATTCCAATTTCCCTATAGATTGTATAAGATGTGGAAACCAAAACCACACACCATTGTCTAACAGGGTCTATGTATTGCCAAATTTAGGGAGGCTGACTTACTTCTTCAACCAGAAATCAAAGCCAAGTCCAACAGGTTCTTAACAAGTGGATGTTGGAACAGTTGTGACACCCCCATTCAATAAAGCAACACCTTCTGAGTAGATAATTATTCAGTGTGGAAAGGTAATTTACTTGCTTTCACTGAAAGGAATTTTCGGAATATTCATGCATGTGTATAAAACAGCATGAAAGATATAGTTAGTGAAGAAAAAGATAAATAGTGGTTAATTCTGCCCATATTTTTCTAGGTGTAATTGCACTTGTGCAAAGCAAAGGAAACTGATCTGTTTCCTGTGACAAAGCAAAGGTCACTGACATACATATACATAATATATGTTATAATAATTCCAAGCAAGGGAAAGCAAAGGAAATACCCAGGACCCTGCCAATCCCACAAATATTCAGTGAGAAAAACACCTGGATTCTCCCCAAGCCACAGATGTTCAGTTGGAAAATGCCTGGATCCCATTGAATCAAGGCAGTCAGGGAAGAGAGCCACATCCGGCCCAGTTTGTCTCCTCAGTACGACAGGCACACATGAATCCTATTTGATCAAGACACAGTTATTTTGGAAATAAATAGATCCTGCTGGATTCAAGCACAGTTCACGATTAGCACACACAGATGGGGATGTACTGGGTACAGATACTATCTACAAGAAACTCCTTCAATATACAGACATTTGGTAAGACAGCCTACGCCGCAGATTTTTGGCTATGTCAGTATCTCGGTTATTTCTCTCAGGGAACATGTGTGGATCTGGCAGCTCTGCTCCTCGATTCAGTTTGCCTGGATCACACAGGATCAGAGTGCCCTGCCCTGCTTCTTTAGATTTAGCGGTGTGTAGAGGTAAGGAGAAATGCAAAAAGTGAATAAAGCCACTTTGGTTTTCCTTAGTATGATCAAAACAGCAGCAGCATCATACCAGGAATGTTCCAGGCCTTTTGAGAGCATGTAAATGGAGAAAAAAAAGAAACAACAACAACAACAACAAAACTGTCTCTCTATCATCACAATTTACATTTTCTACATATTTCCATTTTTTTACCTAAACTTCTTTTGTATCCAATGCAACATTTTCACTACACTTTCCAAATAACTTTTCAGCCATTCAATGTACAAATACCGCTACTGACTCTGAAACTTACCCAAAAATTAGGTAGATATTTACAACAATTAAATAATTAT